AAAGCGTTTGATAGGGTGGACCATTCTGTGATATTGTGTAAGCTGAATAACTACGGGGTACCCACAAATGTCTTGAACTTACTTAAATCATATCTATCACAACGCGTTCAATACGTGTGGTATCGTGGACATAAGTCTAGAGAATACATATACATGACCTCAAGATATTTAAAGGGATACAAAACAAATTGGATTCGATTTTACTGCAACGTGATTTAGACGCGGTTTATAATTGGTTAACTTTAAACAAATTAAGCTTTAATGTCGCTAAATGTACTGCTATGACGTTTACAAGAGCCACCGACTATGAATTGTACAGCTATACATTAAACGGGGAGATTCTAACGCGTGTCTACGAAATGCATGACCTAGGGGTACTACTTGACCATAAACTAAATTTTAACAAACATTATTCTTACATTAATAACAAGGCATTCCGTAATTTAGGATTCTTAATTCGACAAGGAACAAACTTTAGATCTGAGCGAACATTAAAAATATTGTACGCATCGTTGGTTAGAGCAAACTTAGAGTACGCGGCAATCATCTGGACACCGTATTATGATATTCATAGTAACAATATTGAAAAGGTGCAGAACAGATTTTTGAAATTTTTGTATTTTAAGACTGAGGGTCAATATCCAGTTCTGGTTTCTACTACAAGATTGCTAGATTTATTTCAGATGCAGAGACCAAAAATCATTCAATTAACTTTCCTCTTCAAGTTAATTCATGGTTCCGTTAACGACGTCAATTTACTGAGTCAAGTTAATTTTTTAGTACCAACTTATTTCAATCGTAGTAAATTTCTATTTCATATTCCTCACTCACGCACAAATATGATGTTTCATTCGCCATTAATTGCCATGTTACGTCTCTATAACAATGTTTCGTTGCATATCGACATATTTCTTGCTTCTCAATCTTCTTTTCTCAAAGTGTGTATTGATACTGTGTAGTTTTTATGAATTCATTGCCCATTATTATAGTTTTATTATAGTTTTTTTTTTAATAGTTTTTCTTTTATAATTCTTTATTTTTTTTAAGTTTAAATTATAAATTGTATTATCTATAAATTATAAATAAGTTACGTTAAATAATGTCATTAATCAATTTTTTAAGTTCCATCACCTGCATTATGATTTCCATTAGAATTATTAGTATCGATTTTATAATTTAGGTTTAGTTTCTTTATTTCTGTCTATCTGTTTTGTGAATGTATATATTTGCAAGTGAACTGCTTCGTTGTAATTGGGAAATTCCTGTAATGAAGCATGGAAATAAATAATAATAATAAATTATTGGTATCATACGGTGATGTAGTCATCAGTCATGCCATGTTGGAATCCCTTCTATAGTAGGCTAACATTAGCAATTATGTATGTTCGTGTGAATGTTTGTTATTTCTTTATTATTATTATTGTATTTATTACACCGATCCAAATCGGCTTACGCCTCGGCCAAAACTTATTCTCTCGGTACACTAAACAATAATTTCACAGCCTCTGGTATACAATTACCTATTATTATTGACAGAATGAATAACGTGGTTTTGGATCAGTGTATAAAAGTAGGTACATGTGCTTTTGTTTGCAGCAGAAATTTTGATTTTGATATTTATCCACGTTTTTATTATAACATTATTTGCATAAAGCATTTCACGCTTGGGGGCGAAAATAAGCGACATTTATTGAGCTGTTACATGATATTGTTTGCAATCTCACTTTCATACGTATATTAAATGCCATACTGATGTTAATATTATTATTACACACTTATCAAGCTCTACCAACTTAATTAGGTAATCGTTTGGTAACTTGCGTGGGAATTTCCACATATCAGCCGTCGCATTAATTAACATGCAAATATAACTGATAGGCCCCCAAATTGAAAATGAAATGAAACTATTATACCTCGCAGATTACCTCTACGAACTTCCTGAACGATTACGGTCGGGGATGATAAATAAATCCTCCTTTCCGGGCAAATATCCTAAAATTTATACGTTGTGATTACCTTTACAGTTTTCATGCAAATGATAAAAACGTAGCGTGTATCCGACTGAAACTCGCAACCTCAACAACCCTTAATATCGAACAACAGAATAAATTACGTTAAAAAGTCGTATACGTGCAAGTAAAAACGGAATGAAAGGGAACATTTTTTTAACCGAACGTAAATAATGTACGATGAATTTGCATGATTAAATCCAAACTGAAAAACTTTGGACGCACAGAAATAACCTCGGCGCACGACAGCGTCGTTAATAAAAAAAAATTAAGCTAAATTAATTTACGATATAAATAAGCTACTGAAAATATCTAGTCTTCTCCTGACTGGATGAAAATGGTTGTAGGTACCTAGCGTAGTTTCTATTTTTGGGCGACCAAATCGTCTCGTCGCGATCTAATTAGTATAATCAAATTTGGAGTGATTTTTAAGGTGGAGACATATTTAGGGCAAATATTGATTTGCGTGTGACCTCATGAAGGTACAATAGGAGAGATAGTAATGAAAAATTAATCTGTTGGATGAAAAGTAGAGCGAAGTACACAAGTCCATTATTCGTACTCTATGAATTATTAATAGGTATCTACCTCTACCTACATTTTCAGGAAAAAGAAAATTTAACAAAGTGCCACAATCACTGTTGATTTATTAAAATAAGTTTTTGTGATCTTCCGCTGAAAATTATATAGTTATATTTCATTTTATGTATTTATGGAGGCAACTAGGTATAAATATGTTGTCTTTCTGGAGATTTTTATTATGTAGGTGCCAACTTACACGTGACATACAAAATAATTATACTACTTAATCATCTGCTTAGTTTGTGCTGTTGTCTGTACCTTAATATTAGATAGTCACCGCTGTCTGGACTAACTATTCATACTATTCATGTTGAAATACCTTCTGCAACATCACATTCTGAATGAAGGATTACGTTACATTCTCTACATCCTGACCAGTGTACCGCAATATTAGTTTCTCTACCATCATTATAAATTGTAAGCTTTTGCTTGCCGATGCGGGGATGGGGGTGTCTATATTAACGATATGACTCCTCCAAAATTCTCCATCCTAGCACCATTCACGTTACGTAGATCCGCATCTAAAGAAGATTTCGCTCGATGACGATCTGTCTTATAGAGTGGGGACTGGGATGAGGATTGTGACCGGGAGCTAAGATATTTACTGAATGATGTTCAACGTGAGTTCGCGTTGACCTTTTCCTTTTTAACGTGAGAAATCCTCCACAAATATTGCAGTCTGTACAAACGAAATATTCAATGCAAAATTGATCAATTGAAATTGATTTTAGAAGCAACCTATGGATGGGCAGACATATGGGGTAGTAAATACAGGGTGCCGCATCTAAGATCCCTTGGATCATAATAACATTAAAGATATACTTGCACGACGACTTCCTCGTGCGTCTTCCATTTTTGAAGAAAAATCTTCTCTAATAAAAGTCTTTAGAATATTTTTATGACCTCGCAAGAGAAATCATAAGTAAAATCACATAACGTAAACTGCACTTTAGAAACTGTTAGTGGCAGGGGCGGACTGGCACGGGGGGGCGGGTGGCGATTGCCACCTAGCCTGTAGATCATAATGGCCCGTTGGAAATTTATAAGTATGTGCTGTATTTAGTTTATTGCACTATTAATAAATTATTAACACGTTTCTCCAATTGGGGTTGATGATAGGTTGTTAAAAAATTCTGTTTTAATTGAAGTGTTTTACAATGAATTTATCATTTTTTGTCGTAGTATTTTGAAAGTGCTGAAATACAATGATAGTACCCAGTCCGCCCCTCTGTATAACCTTCCTTTTTTACCAAAAATTCGACTACACTAAAATTTATTTTTACTTTTGAACTAGTAGCCCAATCTTGGAACTGTTTGAAATTATGGATTCTACAGGCCACATTTTATAAGAAATTTTTTTTCCGGGGCGATCTGAGAATTTTTTTTTCGGGGCTCAAAAAAAGCAGTTATTACCCTCCTTTTTTACCAAAAATCGACTGCACCAAAATTTCTCGGGAAAACACTTCTTCTGATTAATTTGGGCGCGTAGAATCCAAATCAATTCGTACTTTTTCGATCAGACTTCTCAATCAAAAGTTATAGACTAGAAACCAATTTCGAAAAAAAAATTCAAAGGGCTGTAACTTTTGAACTAGTAGCCCAATCTTGGAACTGTTTGAAATTATGGATTCTACAGGCCACATTCTATAAGAAAATTTTTTTTCCGGGTCGATCTGAGACAATGTTTTTTTCGGGGCTCAAAAAAAGGCAGTGTATAACCAGGGGCGCACTGGCCCGGGGGGGCGGGTGGCGATTGCCACCTGGCCTGTAGATCATAATGGCCCGTTGGAAATTTATAAGTATGTGCTGTATTTAGTTTCTTGCACTATTAATAAATTATGAACACGTTTCTCTAATTGGGGTTGATGTTAGGTTGGTAAAAAATTAAAAAATTCTGTTTTAATTGAAGTGTTTTACAATGAATTTATCATTTTTTGTCGTAGCATGAAAGTGCTGAAATACAATGATAAGCGACGCACCTCGTGTGGATTGTATATTTGGTTACTTTTAATTATCAGCTGCAATTAAAAAAAACTGTATGGTAATTTATTTTCGAGAAAGGAGTACTTTAAAATGTTTTTGTGGTGCACCTCAGAGCTAAACCCCCCCCCCCCGGTCACCATCATTACTACACTAATACTTTAATGGTCCGTAACCTATGCAATTTCACCTGGCCCGCAGTTACCCAGTCCGCCCCTGGTTAGTGGCTAATAAAAGCTCTTCTTATTCAACTGGAAAATGTCTGCTATTGCAAAATAAACTAAAACGAACAAATTAAAATTTTTTTTTATATTAATAAGAAAAATAAAAGAGCACAAACAAATAAACTTAATACAGCATTTTCCGAGCACCGACTTATCTTCCTTTGTAAAAAAAAGAGATTTTATAGTAATATATTTTTTGTTTCAGATGGATTTTTATTCTGATGGAAGTATGTACCTGCGAAACTACAATTCGACTGTTGTGCAAAAAAGACTGGAAGAAAGAAAGAGATACCTTAAGCAAGCCTGTAACAATTTTGGCCTAGATATAATAGGAAACGATTCTCTTCATAAGCCTAACTCTTGGGAATTCTTAGTAAATAAGAAATATCATTTGGTTTGGTGTAATGTTTTTAAGGCGGCCTCCACGTCGTGGATGTATAATTTCAATCTTTTGGCTGGGTGAGTGCTAGCAAAATCACTTTGACATGTAGTTGTACGTCATCCTTGTTTGTTTGTAGATACAGCCCGAAATTTTTACAGCAAACTAAACTGGTGCCATTATCGTTAGCTCGTCAGCGGTACCCAAGACCGTCCCTCTCGCAGTTAAAGACAGCGTTTAATAACTCGGTATCATTTGTTATAGTTCGGCATCCCTTTGAACGATTACTTTCCGCCTATAGGGATAAATTCCAATTTGCAATACCTCACGCGTATCATCGAAAATTGGGGATGGAGATTGTCGAAAAATACAGACCAAAGGTAAATAGATGCATTTGACCGCCAAAACCACAATTCACTTTTCGTAGATGCAGAAACGAACCAAATGGCCTACGTTTCCAGAGTTCGTAATGTACTTAATAGACGCTGTGAAAAATAGTCAACCTTTGGATATGCACTGGACACCCATAACAGAATTCTGTACACCTTGCCTATTTGATTTCGATGTCATTGCACACATGGAAACGTTACAGGTAAGTAATGCGCACGTTGTGTAGGTACATTATTCGTTTAAAATGATTTAATAGGAGGATCAAGAGTACATCATCCAAAAAGCCAATTTACAGAATGTCATAAGAGCGGAATGGAAAAATCCAGGACGCGGTTCGACTTCTGATCAAATCAAAATGTACTTTTCTCAACTAACGCAGGCGCAAATATTGCAACTTTATCATATTTACAGGTGAGCTAGAAATTATTCCAGCTATTTATTTCGTTCTTTATCAAATTTTCCATCGCCAATAGCTGTTTTAGTCGGGAAAAGCGCACAAAACGGCCTTGTCTGATACTATACAGGGTGGTGACTTGCATAACGCATCATAGGGATTTCAATGTAAAATTCATAACATGCGATTATTAGCTCTCCAAATTATTTTAGAGCAAAAATGTATTAAAGTTTTTTGTAGAAACAAATTTTTTACGCTAATCGACCGTAATAGTTTTTAATTTTTTTCATAATAAAGACGGAAAATTGGAAAATAAAAACCCCATATTTTTCAATAATCTGTGATGCCATGGAATTTTATAATACAAAAACTACACCAATATCCGTCATGCCATGGAATGTCTGCTATAAAACAAATCAAATTCTATCAAAAAGTATTATATTTAGAACAGCGAAATCATCATAAAGAAAGACCAAATTACTAAAAACGTTTTCCTAATATAACAATTTACAATAAATGTTCGAATAAGTCACCATTAACTGCAAGACAGTAACCAAGTCGATCATAAAATCCATTTCGAACTGCTGCTAATTGATAACTGGATATCTTTTTGTTTTAGAAAATTCCATGGCATCGCTGATTATTCAAAAAGATGCGGGTTTTATTTTTCTAATTTTACCGTCGTATATGAAAAAAATTGAAAAGCAATACGGTTGATTGGCGTAAAAAAATTTTTTCTACAAAAAACTTCAATACATTTTTGCTCTAAAATAATTTGGGGAGCCAATAATAGCATGGTATGAATTTTACATTGAAATCCCTATGATGCGTTACGCAAGTCACCACCCTGTATGAGGAGAAAGCATAAGTATAGCATAACAATAACACAACAATAATAGTATGGCTAACAATTAATTCACTCGCTTACTTAGCATCCCTTACGATCATGACCAGAGCGTTTACTTACCGTAACACATCGTTCTTACACAAATCAACAAAATAAACAATTGCCAAACAGCCTTTGCAATGTAACTAGATTTTAAAAACAAAATTCGATGAAGGATGAAATAAAATCATTGAACTATAAGCAACGTCAAGTATATAGCGCAATGAATAAACTACATAATGACATATGTTCGTTAACACTTTGACAGGATTCGGTCTCTCTTTTTAAACGTCTCCCTCATACTGTAAAAGTGGAAAAGGTATGTGTTCCCGAACTAAAAACTGGGTAACTCAAGAGTAATCAATTACGTCGGTGAAAATAGCCTTTTTTTTAATGATTTTAATGATTCATTTTCACTGTAGTTGATGCATTTAATATTGGTGCCGAGAACTCCTGGACGTGTACAAAGAATATTAACTTTTTTTTTACTTTTCAGATACGATTTCGAATTATTCAACTATTCATTCCAAGGCTACCTAGAGTTAGGCAAACTAGATTCCGATCCATCGACATTACTAAATGCAATCAACTTAAAGGATGTTCCGAGGCCTGTAGCATCATCTCATGCTCAATCAAATTTATTAAACATTGTGATGCAAAACGTTAGTCTACAAGTACCTAACCATTAATTTTTATAAAGTATACATATAGATTTTAATAACAGTATTTTGTCCCCCTATTTTATAGCACTGTTGTATAACATTCACTTTTCTATAGAGAAAAACTCCTCGACATTCTTTTGTTATGTTAAAACATTTTAAAATAATGCAATTACAAGACAAGCTTCAAAATATACTAGTTAAAGGTTTATCGATACAATTACACTCTTGTGTAAAATTGTGATACTAGCTTTAGCAATTAATTTAGTGTTACATAGCGAATTATGGTTATTGAAATTGAAATTCCAATTTACGAAATATTTAAATAAACAATTTAAGCTCAAAATGATTATTTCGTACTTTGTTTATTACGAAAATAAAATTTGAAAGATTTGTTTCTGTACTTACCCAATAGTACCAGAGCTTGCCACTTCGATCCCGATAATCCATTTTCCGTTCCACGTCTTCTGCCAGACGTCCGCAACTTTCAAGAAGTGTTGAGTCGTGTCCGAGCTCACTTTTTCTAAGCATGCGGTTATCAGGTCCTTTCGTCTGTTTATCTGTCGTTCTAACTCTTCATTGTTTAATTTAATCTCGTTTAATTTGTGTAACAAAAACTGTTGTACGGGATCTTGTCCTATGTCGAAGTCCAAGTCCATGTCCTCCATATCGGTAACTAAGAAAGAAGATTATTTCAAAACTTACTCGAATTAGAACAATTCCAGAAAAAGTAAAAAACAATTGCAATTGCCGAATTACAAGTGACTAGTGAATGCGGGTAAGGAAGTTTACACAACACTACGTAATTCCGGGTTTTATTCCTCTATACCAGTCACTGCAAGCCATGTCTTCGGACGCTAATGACTTTGGTACTGACACCAGGTCGTTTTTAAGCTTAGAACCCGATTTGGACCTTTCGCATTAAAAAGCACTTGATCGGAACCAACTTTTGCTTAGATTCAATAGACTATTTTTAGTTGGGAAAAAAGGTAGGCGAATTTTCGATTTATTTTTCTCATTTAAAATAATTAATAGTACATTGTGTACCAAAGCGGACAATTGGATGTTTTCTTGAGACACGGAAAACAACTTTCGCGGAGAGATGCACACAATGTTTGTATACTATACTTACACTTACATTAAAAATGATACCCGTCGGTGTCGCATTTTTATTAGCTGACAGTTTTTCTCGTCTAATTGCTAGGCAACAGATTTTCATTACCTAAACAACCCAAATTTACTCGGTAAAATACAAACCACTTGTGGAATGGGGGTTTACAGTATAGTTGAATTCCGCAGTTCTAATTTAATAAGCGTGTACCTGAAACCATAACACATTCTTTTGGACAGTAAAAGTTTATTTAAAAATAGAGGCTGATTAGCAAAAAAATAATAAACATGTGCGGTTTTAAAGGTTTATTCAAAACGATATGATTGTGGCGGGCTCTGTGACGTAATAAGCCCGACCAATCAGCTCCTAGAACCATTCAGATGACATAACGACTTGGCAATATTGCAGGAGAATGGCATTTATAACTTGCGTCATCTGTCACAGGCACTTGTCACTTTCGTGCTAGATCACAGCCGTCTATAATTACAAGCCATGCTGAGAATTATGGCAACACTGCATGGTAGGCCGATTTCCTAATTCAACTTGACAGATTTTGGGTGTATTTTATATGTGTTTTGGGTGTAATATTCCAATTTACCTGTTTTAACAGAGCGAGATTCCGACAATTTGTGTTACTCCGTACGAAATGAACAGAAGTTATTATTCAGGTAAGTTGCTAAACGAAATATATCGATTTGTTGTCATAACCTCTAAAGCAGGCTACTCGTTACTGGACCCTTTACAAGCACTTGTATTTGTTCAAAGTACCTGTACAAGCTCAGATATGACCCACACACTACGTGGTACGTAAGTACGGTAAGTGTTTATCGTGAAAAAATACAATTAGTTTGTATTTCAGGTATTCTAGCACGGACATGTCAAATCGATTTTCTGAAGGAACCTTTCAACTTTTCCCAAGAGTTCATGGTACGGGAATTTGAAGTCTACAGTGCTCCCCTCATTAAAAGCTTCGTACCTACACCCACTGGAGTAGCGGCTGGCTTAAACTCTGCCATTCCGAATCACACTTGGTCGTTGATATAACCTCTCTGATGCGCAGCGATTTACTGTCCTTTTACCGAAATTAAGTGCTCAAGCGTGTGCTTCACCTCGACCTGTTTCGACAGAAGTTAATCAATTTCGGAGATCTCGATGGAAAACACATTATGATGCAGTTACAAATTTACAGCATTCCGAATTTTAAAGTCAAATAAAAATGTTATTATCCATTTTTGTAAATAAATAATATATATGCACAATTGTAAGCTGCCTAAGTATCTTTCTTCTATATTAAAACCGCCAAGGCGAAAGACAGGAGAGAGGAAAATGCCATTTTTCAAGAGCAACAAGACGCCATTAAAACTAAATCGGCCCACCGATTGACTTTCGAACAACTTCTCAGCATGGCTTGTAATTATAGACGGCTGTGGCTAGATGCAGTTAAACATCCCTCTCAAAACGTCAAATGTGACAAACGTCAGACCCTCGCGTAAGGTTGCCAGCTCACTTCTATGTGATTGGTTGTAGGTTTGTGACGTATTTAGTCTGAAGCGTTTCAAATTCGGACTAAAAACACAGCTTTTCAATATTTATTTTGGGTTTATTTTACTCGAAAATAAAATTTGAGGACACACGGGTCTTTTTATTTTTAATGTACTTTGTGAATCAGAAAAAAAAATGAATCTTAAACAAAATATCACCTTGAACAAAGAATCTCAAAATAAGGTCAATTGTGTCTTATTGTAAAAAATCTATTTAAAAAAAATACTAGAAATTGCAACAGAAATTTCTTTAATGCCTTTTTGAAAAATGTGCTGTAGACTACCTTTAACTTTCTAAGATAACGAATCACAAATTGGCTTGGGATTTCCTGGTGACAAGTCACAAGTTTGGAGCCTTGGGAGTTCGCCGACGAAAAAGTCGTGGGCTTGGTGAAGGGGATTTCCCGATTTCGTAACTAAGACGTGACCTTATTTCTATGGTACAATCTATGAGGTGAGTGCGAACAAAGCAAAAGCAAAGCGTTTCATAAATAAATGAGATGAGAGAAAGATGCTGTATTGCAAAATCAAAGCTACTGTTTAAGTGACAAATTACGCATTTCAAATTTACTATAACTCAGATTTGATCAAAATTGGATGAATACTTTACGAGATGATATTGGTAATACCAAAGGGCATTCGTCGATTATTTTTGTATATTATAGACGCAAACACTAGAAATGAGAGGCTTTAATCTTTAATAGCAAACGGAATACCTCTTGGACACTATTTAATCAAACAAGCATTTCTGCATTTTTATGGAAGTAGACAATTACATTAAGAGTTATTAGTCTACCATAAATAGATTATGTTCCATTGCACATGTCTATATGTCTGAATATGCACTCGCATTGAAATGAGAAACGTTTTATTGATTTGCTTTAATAATACCGCCTACATTTATAAATTTTTAGGTATAACAAGCTATAGGAAGGCAGCGTTCCCTAAAAGTGTGATCCCCTATTTATGGAGCTTACCAATAAACATAGTATATTTCTATGGCATCTGGAAGATATTTACATTCAATTTTAAACTGGAGGACAAGCAACTACGGCCCGGAGCCAACCCCAAACATTTGCTACTGTTTTGTAGCACTTTAAATCTAATATTACGATTGTGGTATGGCAGTCAAGGAAGAGTTACTCGGTTGTTGGAAAAGATCGATGAGTTGAACATTACGTTGAAATTAAAACGATCTTTTACAAATAAGAAGATTCTAAGGATTATTCTTATATGGTCCATTACTCACTTTCCATTCAGACTTTCCATTGCTACGATAAATTCTCCGAAAACTGGCAGCTACCAATTATTGATTCTATCTACAAATTCACTTATTACGCTCATGGAAATATTCTTTATTTATCAAGTGGTAGACGCGATACGTCTTCAGTTTAAGGTAATCAATGGGTGGTTGCATTGTGGAAATACCGAATGGCCTTATCGTGGCGTCATACCGAAGAGGCTCCATATTGGAAGAATTGCGCATGTAGCATTATTACACTACAAAATAACGCATATCACAAGATTATCTACTGAGGCTTTCAATATGCCTTTAATTTCCACTTGTGGGTTTGCATTTATATTTGTAACCACCGACATTTACTATACAATAGCGATAATACTTGGTGAGTTTAGCAGCGAAGATGTGGGGGTGGTTAAGTTTGCTCCCGTTCTTTTGGCCCACAACATTACGTGGCTTTTGGAGCATCTTTTACTCTTTATGTTCATTACAGCACCATGGGCACGGCTGAAGTGCGAGGTGAGTTTTTACCTTAATTAAATTTCCAGGGGCGGACTGGGTAACTGCGGGCCAGGTGGAATTGCATAGGTTACGGGCCATTAAAGTATTAGTGTAGTAATGAAGGTGCGGGGCGGGGGGGGGGGGGGGGGGCTCTGCGGTGCACCACAAAAACATTTTAAAGTACTCCTTTCTCGAAAATCAATTACCATACAGTTTTTTTTTTAATTGCAGCTGATAATTAAAAGTAACAAAATATACAATCCACACGAGGTGCGTCGCCTATCATTGTATTTCAGCACTTTCATGCTACGACAAAAAATGATAAAGTCATTGTAAAACACTTCAATTAAAACAGAATTTTTTAATTTTTTACCAACCTAACATCAACCCCAATTAGAGAAACGTGTTAATAATTTATTAATAGTGCTAGAAACTAAATACAGCACATACTTATAAATTTCCAACGGGCCATTATGATCTACAAGCCAGGTGGCAATCGTCACCCGCCCCCCCGGGCCAGTGCGCTCCTGGTTATACACTGCCTTTTTTTAAACCACGAAATAAAAATTGTCTCAGATCAACCCGGAAAAAAAAATTTTCTTATAGAATGTGGCCTGTAGAATCCATAATTTCAAACAGTTCCAAGATTGGGCTACTAGGTCAAAAGTTACAGCCCTTTGAATTTTCTTTCGAAATTGGTTTCTAGTCTATAACTTTTGATTGAGAAGTCTAATCGAAAAAGTACGAATTGTTTTGGATTCTACGCAGCAAAATTAATAACAAAAAGTGTTTTCCCGAGAAATTTTGGTGCAGTCAATTTTTGGTAAAAAAAGAAGGTTATACACTGCCTTTTTTTTGAACCGCGAAATAAAAATTGTTTCAGATCGACCGGGAAAAAAAATTTTCTTATAGAATGTGGCCTGTAGAATCCATAATTTCAAATAGTTCCAAGATTGGGCTACTAGTTCAAAAGTTACAGCCCTTTGAATTTTCTTTCGAAATTGGTTTCTAGTCTATAACTTTTGATTGAGAAGTCTAATCAAAAAAGTACGAATTGTTTTGGATTCTACGCACCAAAATTAATAAGAAAAAGTGTTTTCCCGAGAAATTTTGGTGCAGTCGATTTTTGGTAAAAAAGGAAGGTTACACTGCCTTTTTTTGAACCCCGAAAAAAAAAATTGTCTCTGATCGATCCGGAAAAACAATGTTCTTATAGAATGTGGTCTGTAGAATCCATAATCTCAAACAATTCCAAGATTGGGCTACTAGTTCAAAAGTTACAGCCCTTTGAATTTTTTTTCGAAATTGGTTTCTAGTCTATAACCTTTGATTGAGAAGTCTGATCGAAAAAGTACGAATTGATTTGGATTCTACGCACCAAAATTAATAAGAAAAAGTGTTTTCCCGAGAAATTTTGGTGTAGTTGAATTTTGGTAAAAAAGGAAGGTTATACACAGGGGCGGACTGGGTACTTAGTATTAGTGTAGTAATGAAGCTGGCGAGGGGGGGGGGTAGCTCTGAGGTGCACCACAGAAACATTTTAAAGTACTCCTTTCTCGAAAATCAATTACCATACAGTTTTTTTTAAATTGCAGCTGATAATTAAAAGTAACAAAATATACAATCCACACGAGGTGCGTCGCCTATCATTGTATTTCAGCACTTTCAAAATACTACGACAAAAAATGATAAATTCATTGTAAAACACTTCAATTAAAACAGAATTTTTTAACAACCTAACATCAATCCCAATTAAAGAAACGTGTTAATAATTTATTAATAGTGCAAGAAACTAAATACATAGCACAAGCACATACTTATAAATTTCCAACGGGCCATTATGATCTACAGGCTAGGTGGCAATCGCCACCCGCCCCCCGTGCCAGTCCGCCCCTGTAAATTTCCTATCCTAATTTCGAAAAATATCTACGAATTTTTTTTTGTTTTGTAGCGTTATTCTTTATTAAGCGGCAGATCAAAGCGATGCAAGCTTTATAAGGGAGGATATGGTGTCCGTCTGTCCGTGAACACGATAACTGTCAAACGCTTGGACCGATTTGAGCCTATTGAAAATGGGTCAAATTCAATGACTCCGTAGGGTCACGTCTCTCTGTCTCTGGCAAACGCTTGAGGCTATTCGGTTCAAACTTTGCCTGAGCCCGCGATACAAATTCATCCGATTCGATAAAATTTTTAGAATTGCAGTTTAATTGCATCAGGTAGGCGTAAACAACATTACTGTAATGAAAACTGGATGCAAGCGAAATTCACCTTAATTAACATTCTTTGACGTAGGCGATACGACCTAGAATCGCTTAACCGTTGCGCTACCGTATTTTGTTCATTCTTATTCTTCACGTCAACAATAACACGATGCAGTTTGTTTAATAGAATTGTTTATGTTTAATCGACGACGTGAGGTTAAAAAATTCAACATTTAATGGGGATAATTACATATCGGAATAGTAATAACGGATCGACTATATGCAGTGTAACTATGGAAATATTAAAAGTTACGATCAACGCCAATGCCGACTTAAAAGTTATACTTAGTTAACATAGCCACTAATCTCCGCTAAGCTTCTACATAAGAAGAGCCCTAATTTAAAGAAATTGAAATTAGTAACAAATGAACCCGTATATATTGCCTGCATTACATGTTGAGGTGTCCGAGAGACTTACTTTTAACCCTCACTGTAATTAAATACTTTAATTTTGTGGAAATGTACTAATAATTATATATAATTTTCCTAGTTTTGGTGGGTATTAAATTGCATAATTTGTTGATTGTTGTGGTTATATGGTGGATATAGTAATTATGTTTCTGTTTAATTGACATTATTAACACAAAATTACTATTTAATTTTATCATTAGTAACACTACTCTTATTCAATTTCATAATTCGCCCCATAGTTATAGGTATATAAGCACCCACACTTTAATGTGAGTTACCTAAACTGGTAGGTACCTGGTACATACGTGCATCATGAATTTTGTATTTATTTTTCTTTGTTTAGTGGCCGTTTCCAAGCAGCAGGTATAGTTTTTACTGTATTTATTACAATTAAGTCACTGTAAATTCTCTTTGAAGGGCGTTAAAGACTTAAATCCTGCGTTACTGGATAAAATCGAATCAATTACCGATGACTGTTTAACAGAATCAAAGGCGAAAGAAGATGAAGTAATTAAAATGCTTGATAACGGAGAATTCAGTGGCAGTCAAGAACTGAAATGTTTTCTCAAATGCATCTACGTAAAATTGGGTGTAATGAATGACGCGGGTGAAGTTCAGGAAAACGGCATAAAATCACAAATTCCTCCAGGTTTTGATCAAGGGAAAGCTAGCGCCCTTATCGAAAAATGTAGAGAGATTCATGCAGGAGATCCTTGCGAAACGGCGTTCGATGTTGGTAAATGCATTATGGAGGGTCTCAAGTAACATTACAGATATTTTGAAATATTTCGCTAATGGTAGGAATAATAAAAAGGCACATTCTTCACACGCAATGTTTTAATATTCAGAATAAACGTAGTAAATAAATATACGTATATCATTATTTTAGGAAAGGTTTAGTAGGTAACTGTAACGTTATTATTGCTGAAATGGTGAGTTATTATGACCCGAATTGACAAATTAGAGTCAACAACAATCTCTGAACGTACCAATAAAAAAATGTCAAACATTCTGAGACACTAAAGAGACCTTAATTACATATTACCATAATAATTTCTGAAGAACTAAATGTTTACTTTTAATTAAAATTGTTTTTCATTTGAGGGTTAAAAATTGTGCTAACCATGGTGTCAGTTTTCTTTGAGGTACAGCGATTTTAGCATTAATATTATTAATAATAATAATAATAATGACGTCACCATTATGAGAAACCTTTTCAAGACCCAAACATCCCATTTAATTACTCTGAACGCAATTGTCCCGGACGAAAGTGCCCTGACACGATATTAACAAACTCCTTATTTTCTAAATCAGGATAATGAAATACTCGATAGAACTGCTATTGATTGATGTACACTTTAATTAGCATCATAAAACCCCTATTAGGAAATTAAAAAACTGAGTGATTAATAGCATGACTGCCGCACAACTAATCGATTAACAAGTTTCATTTGGTCTTAGTTCCAATTTGTATTCGAGTGGAAAGTAATGGATCACCTATTTTTCAAATATTTCAAATTTTCCTTGTACGTGTACAAAATTTTCGGCATAGAGAATTTCTACTCAGCTGCGCCTGTAAAAAACCTTACGAACATTCTATGGAACTTGCCTATACTGTTCCTGTTTTTCTTCAGTTTATGGCAGTTTTACACATACAAAGAAGGCGAAAACGATGGCCACGTGCTCACTGATACAAATCAACTACTAATTTTCAGTGCTACATTGCATACTTTCTGTCGAATGTTGTACAGCAGGCGTAAGAATGTACTTAGTCTACTCAAAGAAATTGAGGACATTAATAAGGATTTGAATATAGGAGTCATTTGCCACAAAAGAAGATGGGAAATACTGTGCAGCACAGTTGTTGTGTATATAAGCTATGTATTAACATTTGTTCCTTTTGCCGATGGCCAGCAGCGCTTTGTATACTACGCAATAGTTATGTCGACAAGCTCATTCGTCAGTTTCCTTGAAGTTTACTTCGTGTACCAAATTAATCAACTAATTTTGGCACAATTTCAAGATATCAATGCTAAATTATGCAACAGCTGCGACCGTACACCATCTGGAAGCGATGGACTCATACTAAATAAAGCTAAAATGTTAAAAAAGAAGGATATTGATCAAGTTGTGGACATTGCCTCAAATCATTATAAAATAACGAAGGTGGCGAAATTCAGCAATAGCACATTTAACACGCATATTCTTTTGGCGTGCATGTCCAGTTTTATGATCTTAACTGCAAATATTCACTACACCCTTTCAGTTACATTCAAGCAATTTAAAACCGACGAGAATGACACTTTCGTAATAGCCGTACTGTTAAATAATATAGTATGGATTGTGGCCTATTCCCTACTATTTATAATTATTATTAAACCTTGGAGAGCCTTGCAAAATGAGGTAAGTGCTTTTACTCTATCCATGTGTGTAGCTTTTTCACGAATTACCATTTCGAACAATAAATAAGCCAATCCCAAATTTTTGAATTGTTTCTATTGACCTTCCAACTGATGTGAAATATCGAAAGTACTGTCTTTCCGGGCTTATAAAGCAAATTTGAGGCAAAAAGTATACAGTTTGTGGATATGGTACCATTTCAAGTTAAGCATAGTTACACCATAATATAGAGGTACCTAATGAGACCAGACCGCTATGAACACTCTATGTAGGTATATACCTATACGTGACGCTTGTAATTACAACATTTATCTATTGAAGATGAAAGCTTCTGAATATATAAATGGTAATCAATAATAGGAGAGGAAGTAATAATAACTGTAGTACAAATAGGGCTACGAATATTTTATTTATAGGCAATGTATTAAAACATTTTTAATATTTTATGTAAGTAAACGACATGTAATTTACTGAAAGGCTTCTATAAGAATCAATATTCAGTAGGTATATTTTTTATTGGGTGGGTTACGTTTAAACTGCTTATACAGCGAACGAATAGTTTATTGTAAAAGCCACACTTTATCCAATTTTACAAATTTGATTTATTTGCTACCAAAGACTATCCTCCTCCAGCTCCAGTGTTAAAAACCGATGTTATTGTTTTAGGCCAAAAAAACATCTACTTACATACACGACATCTGGAATAAGTGCGCCAACGCGAATGCAATGGATGCCAATGTTAACCATTTGCAATTAATTTCACTGCAACTTTTAAATACTAAGCTGGAATTTACAGCTTATGGATTTTTTCCATTAGACTGGACCCTTCTACATGCGGTAAGAATGTTCGTCATACGTTTTATGTATATCCGCTGGATTTAATTTGAAGTACCTACCTAGTCTTTGTATGAAGGCGTACAAGGGACAGTATATTAAAAAATATGCTATATCGAAAGATACATATAGTAATAATCAGTACTGTTTTGGAGGGTATACACGGGTATCTCTGCTAAAACCCAAATATACGGCCGTATACGTAAATTAAAAACATGGCTGAAAATCCGCTTGTATACTTGTACCGACAATGACGTTTTATTTCTTGGTGTCAAGAACATCGATTAGAAGATGAAACCAAATTAAAACTACTACAGACCTCAAAAAACAAAAACAAACCATGTTTTCTAAAAAATTTCAATTGAAGGATTTAGTATATTTAAACATGTCATAGAATAATACTGCATTATTGGGTCCAGCACATTTTTTTGTTGGCGGTTTTCCGGGGTAAATTGTTTAACATGAGAAGTAGTATCCCTTCTACGCCTTCGTAGTACCTTCATTGTAAAACAAAATAAATTTTTATCGTTGCAGATCATAAGCGCTGTTACAACATATGTGGTTATACTGATACAATTTGAAACTTCGTAATTGTAAATACGCATTGTAGTTATAAATTTTAAAAAAATTGCGATCCTGCCAGGATTCGAACCTGGAATCTTCTGATCCGTAGTCAGACGCGTTATCCGTTGCGCCACAGGACCTTCATGCACAGAGACGTAATAAGTTCGTATACATATCGGTTAAATGACTTTCATAAAATAAGTTATTTAAAAAATTGTTGTTATTAACTGTTTACTGTTCAAATTTTATTACTAAAATAAATACAACCCTCATAATACCTACGCAAGAAATGTTGAGTAGGTACTACCATACTTGCTTTATATAGAAGTTACAAAATAAAGGAGAAGTAAAGAATTGTTTTATTACATAGCCAGTGAGTATTAATTGTATTTTAATTTGTAAAATTATGAAATAATATGCAATAGGTATTAAATAAAAGACTCACCTCGCTCCATTTTTGTTACCATGCATTGATTTTGTTTAACAAGCCCGGCTAGCTCAGTCGGTAGAGCATGAGACTCTTAATCTCAGGGTCGTGGGTTCGAGCCCCACGTTGGGCGAGTTTTTTAGGATATGCAAAAACGATTTTATTACGAGGGATGCTAAATGAATTTTTCGGACGTATGTGAGAAATATAAAATTTTCGAATAGCCTTATTGCTTTTCTTAACTAACTGCATGCGGGTTACAGAATAAATCACCAATTTATCCTATATACCTATGTAGGTACGTACTGGCACAGATTTAAATAAATCTGTGGTACTGGTACGAGTACTCTGTGGTTCGTAGTAGATATGGTTATAAAGTATGGGCGTCTAAAAACGACGTGTCGACAATATGTCTACTTTATTATGACTATGACCGCAGACATAATATTGAATATTGGCCGTTTAGCCGGAAATAAAAGTACAGACAGACATAAGGCAGACCGACATCATCGGGATTTTCTTTATTCGGATTCCTAAGTGCTTCAAAACGTGTATTTCTGTCAAAAAAGTGGGGAGTCATTTTTTACACCAATGCAATACCTCCCTTACTAACGTGCGGGTGGTAAAATATTTGATACTGAATACTTGTTGCTTTTAGTACATTTATAAAGTGCTGGTAACTACACTAACTACACATAGTTTTGGGGGGTGCTTGCTAAGTAAATTTCTATAATATTAATTATTTAATTGGTTATCTAATTGCATCAATACGATGAAGTATGTTGCTTGCGTTGACAAAATCTAAAAACGAGCACGAATTAGTGAAGAACAAAATGAAAATGCACTTACTTCAAGTAACAAGGGTCGTTGCAAAGTAAAATATCCGGCTGCAGTCAAAGACAATTGTTCATTTAATAGATTTAGAGCGTGCATTTCGCCCTAAATTTGAGGTACTTAACATAATTAAACTGGAATGTGTGCAGTTTTAATTCTTACCTCGTCTTGGAAATCTGGATAAATACTTAGAAGTTTATGCAAGGTGGTCAGAGTGTATTTGCTAATTTGAGCGAGATCTTCACATATTTCCAAAAATGCCAAAATGATAATTGCGTATGCTATGGCCCATAAATCATGGGCATAAACCGATCTGGTCATAGTCGGTCTTTCTTGCAGCAGTGCCAGCACATCCATAAGGATGTTGTACAGTGCAGATTGCCAAATTGCGAAACTGGCTCCAATAATAAAAAGGAAGGGATAACCCCATAATTCATTAAAGCTTTTGCAATTACTCCACGTTAAATTGTGTAGAGTAAAAATTTGATCAAAGATATTTGCGGCACCAACAGTTTTTCGCTTGGTTTTGAAACAACCTCTCGTAGTGAACTTTTCTAAATGGCTGTTAATTTTGCGAAACATTAATCTGAAGTGTTCTAAATGTAAAAGTTCTTCGATAAAATACGTAACGATGGTCAATCCGGGTAGATACGCAACCAACCAAAATATCACTGAGAATTGAGTCGCATGTTCCCATAAATCCCAAACCAGAGACGACGCCAGTATAACGATTTCAATAAATAGTAGAAACCCTATTCTAGAGTACGTCATCTTGATATTTAACCCTAAACGTTGGCACTCAGTTAAGACGGTGGCTCTGTTTA